CATTGACCTTGGGCTGTCATGTTGAAGTTTGGTGTTTTGTAGTCAATCAATTCCTTTGAAGTTTGATATTCACAGCTGATATGTTTCCAATCTGGGTAAATGAGAGGAACTGAAAAAGACAAAACACAATAAATTCAGCATTAGTATTGTAACTGCTTGCCCAAAAACATCTACTAGTATCTTGTTTTCAAAAGTAATCTCTATGCAGATGTTGAAAGTGAAGTTGGTAGCATTTTTTTTCAGAATTGAATTCATCCCTGGCGTTGTTACATACACATGCATGTGTCAGTGTGTAAAATAAAATGTATGCATGTTGCCAATAATTTCTATCCCTTTGTCTGTGTGTAATATTAGCGCCAAAATAAGCTTTGATTATACAGTTTTAAACAACCTTTTGTAGACACTGTTAAGATGACATTTACGGCACTTTCGTGATGACTAGAGATTATAAAACATGATGACCACTGCTGATCACATAAAGCACGTGCATGTTTCAATTGACCCGTTTTAGTGATTCATTTATACAAATGTTATGGAAGGCAAAATTAACAAAAATGATACAAGGTAGATCCCACAGAAACTTCGTTTCTTATAGGACAAGATGATTGCTACTATGTACCCACAACAACTCACCACAGGGCGCGACTCAAGCCGGAAAAGATTCGTCTTTCTGCTTGTTCTTCCTCACCTAGACCGGGTGGGCGGCCATTTTGCAGCTGTTCGACTGCATCGAAACAAAAAAAAAATGTATCAAAGACACCTGTTATAGATCAATGATTGGATTTGATTCAACAGATATCACATAAGATTTTGATAATTTGATTTCTAATAATGATATCTTAACTATATTTTCTTATGGTGTTTAAACTAATATATTCTACTTTATTCTATTACGTTTCAGCGCGATGATTTGTCCTGTCGTGCTATGGACGATACCAACATTAAGAGGTGTGATGTAGATTCTAGACATCTTTTGTTGTTGATAGAAACAGCGTTTAAATAGCAACAAATACCTTATGATTACACTGATAAATACAATACATATCTATAAATATCGTCTATTTTTTCACACAATTAATTCAAAACCTTTATATAAAAGAAACTCATCCGTTTTCCACTATGGCTCCGCCCCTTACGTCACAGAACTGCACCCACGTGTCCACAAGTTATTTTCCACAAAGGCGCGGTAAACAACAGTCCAGTTTTGGCGCGACCCGACACAACCTTGTCAACATGATGGCTTCAGACGGCGTTAACGGCACTCCAGGCTGCCGATTCATTAAAGAAGAGGTTCGTAAACCCTTTGATATAGTTGGAAGCTAGAAGCTGATGGAAAAGGGTGTTTTTATAGGATGTTTTGAAATCTGTCGTTGACGTATGGTATGGTACGCAGTGAAAATCACGTAGTCAAACCCGCCCGGATCCTTGCATAATTTGATAAATATATGAACTTAAAAAACGTGATTTCAGATTTGTCAGCTGCTCAGTTTAAATTAATGTTACAGCAAATGTCACCACCTTTGCGTTTCTGGTGTCATAGAATAATAATAACTGGAGATAATTACGGGTTCCAGGGAGCATAACGTACCTTATTATTCACACTTCAGTGCCCGGATCTTGTTTTTCGCGTGTTGATTTATGATAAGTCGAAATCAGGCACGTTTTCTGTATCACAGAACGCCAGACGGTTAAAAGACAGGGACCAGAATGTTTTAGCAAAACCTTCAAAAGAGAAGGTTGACATTCAAAAGAGAAGGTTGACAGATATGTAGATGACCTTATGCACTTTTGCCCTAGTTTTTGGGTCACCTGGCCGTACATGTGATGTCACCTGCCTATCATTGTCCTTAGTTTTGTTTTTCCTCAGAAGTCAATATCTCAAAGGTAAAGGGGATACCAGTTTTTTTTTCAAATAAAATGAATTATTGTTTTGCTTATCAAGTCATAAGGTAGGCATGTAACTTATGTAGGAGCCAAAACAGGATGAGGATGGTCCAAAACCATAAGAAAACCTTTGTGTAAAAGGCTAGGTGTGGTAATCTGTGACTCAAACTTAAGTTGACAACCTGGGTAGGGGACTGCTATTGAGGACTATCATGTGGATAGATTTATGGTGTCAGCTGCAGAAAATCCATGCCTCACTGTTGCTGTAAAAATGTGCCACCCCCTTATACTAGTATCATAAACTTTGATAAAGAGAATTGCAGGTGTCAAACAGTGCTGAAGGATTATTTATACTCTTTTGCACAGGGCACAGGTGTAATCATGTTATACTATCATAGCTTCAGGCTATGAGTAAAATGACTGTACTAGGATGCCATTTATCCCTTCCATCAGTACAGAGAGTATATTGTTTCACTGGATACTGTTTAGATGTAGAATGTTCAGTAAAAAAAGTCAACATAACAATATCTTTTTTTATGTTACGTGTATAGTACATCAACCAGAATACATTAGGATGTCGGGGACAAATCAAGTTCACTTCTTGCCTCTGGGTTATTCTTGAGTATGGTAGATATGCCGAGAAGTTTGAACTTTGGTCCACTGTGCTAGCCTGACATATAATGACAGATGGAGGTAGCCTGGGTGTTCTTGATTTCTCATACACCAGAGAATGTTCTGACATAGCCTGCATGCCATCTATAAACTGTTGTAAAATGGAACTCATTGCCAGATAATACTATAGCATTGAATGATATGTTAGTCCATGTGGTTGGACATCTAGAGGTTAGATGCCGTTTGATGCATATATGTAACATATGTGAATGTTATTTGCAAGTTATTGCTTAATTGCAGTCAAACAGGCAGCAATATAGAACATTTGAATATGTTACAGAGAAAACACAAATAAAGTCGATGAATAAAATTGGAGTAAGTACACATGTCTACTTCAGCTGTACATGGGTTTGAGTTCTTTTATGCAGCTCTGTATAACCAGCCATTATACTGTTTACATGTACAGGCTTAAGCCTGGAAACTGGATCTTTTCATAGATAGCCTATTACAGTATTAGAGCTGGCCTGGACTTACAGCTGGTATGGTTACATGTAGCATTGAGACAAAGGCATGTGGGCCTGTGGGGTCATGCACCCATGCATAGGGGGGGAAGGGTCCATGCTGATAGTGCTAAAGGATACTGTGTAAACAACACTGGAGGGGTCAGAATGGGTTCATACATGGTATCATCTACACTGCATTCTCCCAAGGCTTTCCATAGAAAATGGGAGTAAAAACAGGGAAATTATGAACAAAATAACACTGCCAGTGTTTACATAATGAGAAGTAAAAATGAGGTTATGTGGTATGGTATCATGTAGACTTCATTGCAAGAATGAATTCCTCCAAACTTTTGAAGTGAAAAGAAGTGGTCAAAAAATTCCAACAAAATACTCGTAGTAGTCGTGTGATTTTTGACGGTGTAATTTTGCCCCACCAGACTGTGTACCAAGGCGAGTGGCTGTCCCTAGGAGTAACCACCTACCAAGATCCACAAGGACAGCACAGGTGAGACAGACTTTGAAAATGCCTGTTTTGTATGATTATATTTAGCCAAGCATGAACGGGCTGTACTATTTATCGTATGATTTTTATATCCAAAGACAAGTTGTTGAGACAAGTTGCATGAAATATAATACTCGAATGATGTAAGTACAGTACAGGACATGCAAGTTGTACCAAGTATCCAACTGTGATTGGTACAGGTATGACATGTTGCTTATGATTTACATGTCTTCTGTACATAATAACACGTTTGTTTGTGTTTGTGTTTGTAGAACGTGGGAGACTGTCAGAAGAACCACCAGATGTGATGGTTACAAGACTGACGGTAAGACACAATCACCCACATGCTCCTTGTTGTACAATTTCTTTTCCCTTATTCCAAAGAAATATCAGTTCAAAGTAGCAAAGTAAAATGAAACATTGTGCTGTATATACATGTACTTGACTGAGTGACATACTGACTTCAGGTGCAACAGTTGTAGCAGTGTTGAAACGAGCCCTACACTATGACCAGCTCATCCTGGTGCAGCAGTTCAGGCCGGCCATTAACGCCTTCACACTGGAGTTCCCCGCAGGTAGGGACATCAATGTTACACACTTGGTATGACTGACATGTGTCAGGAAAAAGACACGTAGACAACATTATATATATATTGTGATAATGGTCATTGCATTGTTTGAAACTACATGTATTTACAGTTGTTATTTTAGCATACCCCTGTTCTTCATTCTTCCTGTGAACAATCTTTCCTGGTCTGATTCAACAAGCCATGATTTTTTAAAACCTTTCCCATGCTGCCTAACCCCATAACCAATAAACATTTGGTGCCTACCTCATCATGCTGAAGGTTAACTGCAGCCCTTGCTTGTGTTCCCCAGGCCTGTGTGATGCAGGGGAGAGTGTGGAGGACTGTGCAATCCGAGAACTGCGGGAGGAGACTGGGTACACGGGCCAGGTCATCAGTGTCTCACCAAGTAATACCGTAGTTCTCAGTCCTTGCCTTTCCTAGTACACATACCGGGTATACCAATTCATTCTGTAGTCCCTGATTTGCACCCAGTATGCATCCTTCCAGAGACATTGTTTGGAGAAAACACCATTTGAAAGTTCCACAGTGACTTCACTTTTAGAAAGCCACTGTATACATGTAGGTGTGTGTAGCACAAAACATGCTGATGTATTGCCATGTATAGGCACCCAAACCCTGCTAGCTACACTTCGTTGGTGGATTGTCAGTGTTTTATCAATTTCCATTCTTAACCTGTCTACTGTAATGATTACTTTCTGATTCTGTTGCAGCCACCTGCATGGATCCAGGCCTGTCCAACTCCACCACCTGCCTGGTTACAGCACAGGTGAGATCTTAGCTCACCTTTACCTAAGGAATCATCAGGGTTATACTGGGTCAATGTGTAGCTGCAGACATGCATGTGCAAATGGTCTGGAAGAAAGGTTGCTAAGTGTCAACAAAAGGCTTAATTTGTGCGAGTTAGAGATGTTTTGCACACTCACTCACTCACTATCCGTTTATCGTCTAGTAAATTTGAAGATTTTTATATACAATTTTATGTTTGTTTTGTTCCAATACAGATTGATGGAGATGACATTGTTAATATCAGACCTAAACCACATCCAGGTAAGATCGGAGTCAAAGTATCACATCTGTAATTGCATCATTTAGTACTAACAAGATTGTTTCAGACAGACATTGTTTTCGCTGGAAATGTGTTGATGTGTTAAATCAGTGAAAGTCCTGTTATTGAATGATTGTACACATTGTTACCCAATTTTGCTTTTGAGAGAAATAATGGTATTGTGTGTTGTTGTGTGTCTTAGTGGGCATTTTGGTGTTAAACTAACACATTGTTTTCTTTACCCTTGCATGTTACCTTGGTAGAGGAAGGAGGTGGGTGTTGGTTGTTTTTTTTTTTATTAACATGGGTCCATCAAAACTAAAAAGTTCAAATTTTAAGGGCAACATATAGGATGATGCCCTAAATGTTACTTTTTACATGTACTAGGTCTACTGTAGCATTTGTCTGCCACATACATGTACATGTACATTGAATTAACCTACTACTGAGTGATTTTTTTTATGGGTTCACCACACCACGAAGTGGTGTGTGGTGAACCCATATTGCTTTTTCTGGTGTTTCTTCTTCTTCTTCTTCTCCTGCCATTTTTTAAATGGATTCAGCTTCTTCATTTTAGGGCCTAAGGTCCTGAAATTTGGTATGGAGGTACAGTGGGCAAATACCCCTAGGCGTTTTTTAAATTTTTGTGATACGGGCTTTTAGAATGGTTTTATTTGAGTTTTTTGGCTGTGTTATAGCAAATGTATTACTGTGTTAGTGTGCCGTGTTTACCACGTTTGGGCATGAGTCATCACAATGGAATGCAGGGCATCAACCAATAGGCATGCAGCTTTCCTCTATTCTTCTTGCTGATTGGCTGTTGGGATTTAACTTGATTAACACCTGCACAGAGCATTTCCATACTAACAGTATGTCTGTATTCAAGTGTTTTGGTAGGTATTTCAAGCTTTCCTGCTCCAGCATTGGAATGCGGGGCATGTAACGTTTTTTTTTATTTTGAAAATCAACAGTTTGCATTATGCAATTAAAAATCCTAACCAATAAAGTAG